AATCCTGGAGGCACAAGCCGCCACTCACCAGGAGGTCCAAGACCTCGGCCACCTGGTCGGCCTCCTCCTCCTCCTCCTCCATCCCGTTTCCTTTGAGAGAACTCCTTCTCGTCTGGCAACCAGACGTGTCGGTAGGGCGGGCCGGGAGTTCCACCTCCGACGTCCTCCCCGCTGATGGCCCCGAAGGTTGAAATGTCCAACAACTGCTGGGATGGAGAAGTGCTGACTTTGAACATGTCTTCAACGTTCGCCTTACACGTTTCCGGCACTGACACGGGTGGATGTGGTCGGTTTCAATGCGGGCTTCGCCCTCGCGCCGCGTGCATTCGTCGTAAAAGCTCCCAGCAGTTACGCGTGTGATAGGCGGTTCCTGTTCAAACTATAACTATCGCTTGGGACTTTTCAGGCCGATATGTTCCGAAATCTAAAACCGAGGAGCTGCTACATGGATGGAGGGCGGCTTCTTTTCAACTCGGGACTCTCGCTTACGGCTTCCGTGGGCATTCTGACCAGATGTCTCATACGGCAAAACATCTACACAGATTGAGGGCGGCTCTTTTCTACAGCGGGGTCTGGACACCTCCTCAAACTTTCTGACCCTATCTCGTCGCCTTCCTCCACCTCGAATCATGGACGGCAAATCGTTTAACAGAACGGGGCTCTCGCCTGATTTGCAGGACCCTGGGTGGGGCTAATATTTCAAGGGGGCACTTTCCACAATGAATCGGAATTGATGTATGCGCTCATGAAAGGACTTTGGACGGGTGGGTGTATTGCAGCATCGTTGGCGCATCTGTGGTTTACTCTGGTCCTCCTCCACCTGTTCCGTTTTCCTCCACCTCCTCCTCCTCCTCAACCTTCTCACTGCTCCACTTGCTTCATTTCCCTCCCCCCCCCCCCTCCCCCTCCCCCTCCCCCTCCCCCTCCCTCCCTTCCCCTCCTCCACCCCGGGCCCCCCTCACAACCCCCAGCGCCCCTCGCAGAGCAGTCCCGAACTTTCCAGACCACTGCTGGAACACAACGGCATCTCCCCAAACCCTCCGTAGCCATTTTGGCTCAAGCAGTGCTCGGGCGCGCGCCGCGCGCGGGCGCTTGGGCAGAATGGTGCGGGAGGTGCTCACCGGTGTCGCGGCGGCCCGCTGGGCGGCAGACAACCTGGTGAGACGGCTTGGCAGGGAGCTGCGGGAGGCGAAGGAAGTCATCGCCAGCCTCCAGGCGCAGCTGGAGTGCGGATCGCGCGGCGACGCCGCGGAGGCGGAGGCCCTCCGCCGTGAAGGCATCGCGCGGCCCGCCTTGGTTGCGCGCGTCCGCGGACGCCGCGAAACCAGGGCGCAGCGGCAGCGGCGGAACGTCGCGTGGCATGCCGAGCGCTGCCCGTCGGCAGACGCCCCGCCGCAGGAATGGCGCAGGGCTCAACGCGGGCCGCGCCTCCCAGGAGGGCCCCTTCCTGGAGATGGGCGCGGCGGTGCGGCGCGGAGTGCCATCGTGTGTGAGGTGGAGACCTGCGTCTGCGAAGCGCAGCAGCCGATTGTGTGCGCTGTGGATGCCTGCGTGGCCGAGGCGCCAGCGCGGCTGCCCAGCGCCCGAGTGGCGGCCGCGAGGACCCCGCTGCGGTCTGGCGCCCAGCCGTACCTCCCCGAGTAGGCGCGCTGGGCCGCGCTGCTGAAGGGGCTCGGCGTGGCGCAGCTGGCAGAGCAAGGCTGCGGCGAGGGCGGCGCCTAGGGCACCGAGGCGGAGGTGATCATCGCGGAGTACGGCTGCGAGCCCGAGGAGGATCGCGCTGCTGCGGCGCGTTGTTCGGCGTGGCGGCCGTGGCGGAGCGAGGACGGCCTCGAGGGGGACTCGGAGTTCGAGGGGGATTCGGAGTTCGAGGATCTCGGGTCCGAGCACGGGCAGTTCCTGCGTGACGAGTTCTCGGACGGCAGCGAGCTGGCCGCGGAGTACGAGCTGGCGCGCGCTGCCTGGCTGGAGCGCTCGGGCTCCAGGCGCGGTGGTGAGAGCGAGCCCGAGGAGGAGCACGGCACGCTGGCGCTCGCGGCCGACTGCTCCGAGGTAGGCCCCGAGGAGCTGCACGAGTCCGAGGGGAGCAACGTGGTGCCCGTGCCGTGTGGGCTGCACGGCGACAGGCGTGCCAGCGAGCCGAGCGGGGCTGATCCTGTCGGGCTGAGGCAGGAGTGTGAGAGGAGCAAGCGGGTATCCTTCGCTCCGTGGCCCGACGTCGTCGACTTGGAGGTGGGGGCCCTGGGAGGCACGCTCGGGGTGGCAGGGGTCCTTCGGCATTACCCTGTCCCGCAGTGGGCAGACCCAGCGTGGACGAGCAAAGCGAATGCCGTCGACCTGATGCACCTCTGCGAGTGCGAGAAGTTCGGCATCTCCGCGAGGCCTCGTCGGCGACCCGCCTGGAGAGTGCGGTTTGCCAAAGGGCCCAGGCTGGTGCAAGCCCCTCCGCCAGGCATGTCCGTGGGGAGGGCCCTCGAGCAAACCGAGCGGCGTCGCGCCGCTTGACGGCGGCTCGAAGCACCGCGCGAAGGAGACGCCGCGGCCGCCGCCCGTGGCCGTCGTGGGGGTACCCGTGGGTGGCTCGGCCATCGAGCGCGCCGTCGGCATGGAGCCGCCCCTGTTCGCGGACAGCGTCGACTGCGCCGCGGGCGATGGCCACTCGAGCTCGGAGGGCGTGGTCGTTTCATTCCTGGACGGCTTCTCGGTGGCGGCGGTGGCGTGTGTGGCCAAGGGGCCGAAGTCGGGAGTTGAGTCTCTCCTGGACTTGGCCGAGGCCCGCGCCCTCGGCGTCTGCCTCGGAAGTGCAGGTTGTCCAGATGCCGAGGAGCGTCAGCGGCTCCTCGATGATCTTTTGGTCCGTGCGCGTTGCACGACGCGGTCCAAGAGTGGAGAGTGAGGCGGGCAGGTGCATTCTGTATGTAGTTCTGTCCTCGCCTTGTGGAGCAGGCGCGGTGGAGGCCCAGAGCGGCCCCCCGCGGGGAGAGGCGGCCCTAGGCGGCCCCTCTCGGGAGGGCGAGTCTCGGGTGGCGCTGGGTGCCCCTTGAGGCCCCTCGGTCCGTTTCTTTGCCTTTTAGGCCCCGCAACCAACCAACCATCTCCCCCAACCCTCCTCCACCTCCCTTTTTGTTCCCAACCATCCTGCGGTGTTGGGTCCTCGTTTTGAAGAGACCTCCCTCTTCCATGCGTTTCGCCCACCCAGCACAGCGTTTCGTGGCCCCATAAGGAGCTCCACCGAACCCCCCCGTGGGACCGCCCGCATTCGCCCGCCACCACCCAGCACAGCCCTTGCTCCCTGCGTTTCACCCACCCAGTACAGCGTTTCGTGGCCCCGGAAGGGGGCCCCACAGAAGGTCCCAATGGCACCGCCCGCATGCGTTCGCCACCACCCAACACGGCCGTTGCTCCCTGCGTTTCGCCCACCCAGTACAAAGTTTCGTGGCCCCCAAAAATGGGGTTCCACAGAAGGTCCGAGTGGCACCGACCGCAGGCGTCCGCCACTAACCAGCACATCCCTTGCTCCCTGTGTTTCACCCACCCAGTACAAGGTTTCGTGGCCCCATCAAGGGAGCTCCACCGAAGGTCCCAGTGGCACCGCCCGCATGCGTCCGCCACCACTCAGTACAGCCACTGCTCCCTTCGTTCCACCCACCCAGTACAAGGCTTCGTGGCCCCATAAAGGGAGCTCCAGCGAAGGTCCCAGTGGCACCGCCCGCATGCGTCCGCCACTAACCAGCACATCATGTGCTCCCTGCGTTTCACCCAATACAAAGTTTCGTGGCCCCAAAAGGGAGCTCCACGGAAGGTCCCAATGGCACCGCCCGCATGCGTCCGCCACCACCCAGCACAGCCCTTGCTCCCTGCGTTTCACCCACCCAGTACAGCGTTTCGTGGCCCCGTAGGGAACTCCACCGAAGGTCCCAATGGCACCGCCCGCATGCGTCCGCCACTAACCAGCACATCATTTGCTCCCTGCGTTTCGCCCACCCAGTACAAGGTTTCGTGGCCCCATAGGGAGCTCCACGGAAGGTCCCAGTGGCACCGCCCGCATGCGTGCGCCACCACCCAGCACAGCCACTGCTCCCTTCGTTTCACCCACCGAGTACAGGGCTTCGTGGCCCCATCAAGGGAGCTCCACCGAAGGTCCCAGTGGCACCGCCCGCATGCGTCCGCCACCACCCAGCACAGCCCTTGCTCCCTGCGTTTCACCCACCCAGTACAGGGCTTCGTGGCCCCATAAAGGGAGCTCCACCGAAGGTCCCAGTGGCACCGCCCGCATGCGTCCGCCACCACCCAGCACAGCCCTTGCTTCCTGCGTTTCACCCACGCGGTACAACGTTTCGTGGCCCCATAGGGAGCTCCACGGACGGTCCCAATGGCACCGCCCGCATGCGTGCGCCACCACCCAACACGGCCCTTGCCCCCTGCGTTTCGCCCAACCAGTACAACGTTTCGTGGCCCCAGAGGGAGTCCCACCGACGGTCGCAGTGGCACCGCCCGCATGCGTCCGCCACCACCCAAGACAGCGTTTCGTGGCCCCATGAAATGAGCCCCACCGAAGGTGCCAGTGTTACCGTCCGCATGCGTTCCCCTCACCCACACATTTCGTGTCCCCATAGGGAGCCCCTCCGAAAGTCCCAGTGGCACCGTCCGCATGCGTCTTCCCACCCAGTACAGCGCTTCGTGGCCCCAGAGTGAGCCCCACCGGAGGTTCCAGTGCTACCGTCCGTATGCGTATCGACAACCAAATTTGCGTTTTCACTCACCCAGTACTCCGTGGCCCCATAGGGAACTCCACCGAAGGCCCCACTGGGACCGCCCGCGCGCGTGCCGCACACCTAATTTGGCATTTTCACCCGCCCAGTGCAGCGCTTCGCGGCCCCATGTGTAGCTCCACCGAAGCTCCCAGTGGGACCGCACGCATGCGCCCCACATACCCAATTTGGCATTTACACCCAGTACAGCGCGTCGTGGCCCCATAGGGAACTCCAATGAAGCCCCCA